TTAGAATGCATAATTTACCAATATACATGACAAAAAATATTTTTAAAATATTACTAACATAGAAAATATAAATCATTAAGTTAGCAAAGTGTCAAAACACATGGGATCCATGACTGGTTTGGCTTAGTGGATAGAGTGTCGGCCTGAGGACTGGAGGGATTCCTGGTTCAATTCCGGTCGGGGGCATATGCCCAGGTTTTGGGCTCAATCCTGGTGTGGGGCGTGCAGGAGACAGCTGATCGATGATTCTCCCTCATCATTGATGTTTCGATCTCTCTCTCCCTCTCTGAAATCAATAAAAATATTTTTAAAAAACCACACACACATGGAAAAAGTCACAGAGTGGAAAGTAACCTCCAAAGGTCATCAACCACAAGTTGTTAACTCTCAGATCCAAGAAAAAAAATGATTCCACCATCATGCTTGGTGGAAGGGGACTTCTTTTTGGCTTTTGAGAGGGGGAGACTATAAAAATTCAATGTAGAATTAGAATCATGTCATTGTAGATAAAAGTTAAATTTTATTGTACTGATGAGATAGTCTAAATATTATCAGCTACTAAAGATCAATTTTATGTTTAAAACATAAGGTGAAATGTGCAACTCAGACTAAATCAGTGTATAATGAAAAACAATAGTGTATATATAGATAATGAAGGTATCATGGAAGCTGGTTAAATTTTATAATGAAGAGAAAACTAGTAAGAATATAGCAAGCTGACTGAAATTGATATTCATTAGGGTACTCTTCACATCAATAGGGAGCATTTGGACTCTGTGGTCTTTATCAGTGTCCCAGCTGGTAATGGTTGAAGGTTAATGCCTTACCCCATTCTGTTCAATTTTCTATCCTAATTAGCCCTCCAAATCTATAGCTGTGAGCACCAAGTGTCTGTGCTCAAAGGAAACTAATTAATGCTAGCAAATTAGATCAAGTCCAAAGATCCAACAGCCAAACTCTTAGTTAAATGCTCCTTGTTAATAGGAAGTGTAGCTGTCAATAACTGCTGTTGGTGACTATAATGAGGCATCTTGCTTTCATTGAAAGTGATTTCATTTCTCTTTGTCCCTCAAAAAGCTGTTCCATTCCCTTCACAAACCTAAGTTGCTGGCAGCCTGACCCAATTCTTATGATCAACTGGGTTGCAATGACATGAGAAAAAAAAAAAAAATCAAACAGAAAAGCTTTCCTACATAATCATGTTTCAGGCATTTAGCAGAAAGTCAGATCACTTATTAAAATTCCTATATCTTTATCTAAGAACTATACAATGTGTAATGCTTTTATATAAAATCCTGTAGTTATTTAATAAAGCAAAGGTGATAAATAGTAATTACAATGGAAGTATCCTGATTCTAATTTGCATCTTGTTGTTCAGTTTAAATGTAGCTGTTGCTCAGACGCTTAAGTAATACCAATGTATGTTCTTTCCTAATTCACAAGGTTAAACAGGAAGAATACTAAGGATTATTCCTTTATAAAGTAATCAATTTTAGATTGTAAAACACTGTTTTGGACCATATGGCCTAAAAAAAATCAATATATGATTATCTATAAAATTTCAATTGTTAAAAAATCAATTGTTATAACATATTCTAATAATTACAAATGCATTGAAATAACCCAAGTTTTAAGATGCTTTCAATCTTCAGAAGATTTTAAGTATGTTAATAAAAGAAAGTGAACCATGTCAACAGCCTAAACAACGTAATTTTTTATGAAAAAGCAAAAATTAAACTTTTTCTGTACCATTACAAAGTGGTAGTTGTGGAACACAAACAAATAAATAATTTAAACTTATACTCTCCTACATTTCAAAAACAAAGTTTCATCATCTACGAGTAAGAAATACAGTTCTAAAACCCAAAGCCACACAATCATTCTGCATTTTCATCTGAATCATGGGAGTAAAAAGTCAATCTATCACTCCAGATATCAAATTAATGTGTTACAAGACTGCATAAATACAGCTCATATTTATAACTTTAGACCAGTTACTTATTAAATTTTCCTGGTAGTGAAAAGTTAACCCTAACACTATAACTTTATTATCCATTTTTAAGTTTTAACCTCCCCACCTGAATCAGGATATATATATATATATATATATATATGTATATATGTGTGTATATATATATGTATATATATATATATAAATATACTAATATATATATATATATATACATACACACACACATATATATATATATATGTTAAAGTTCTATGAGGCAAGTGGAGGATTAGCTCTTGAGACTATCAGCATAACTGCCAGTGCCAGATGTGCACTGAACCCTGCCTGCAGGTGCCAATGAGTTAATTTTCCCTAACACATGGCGGGTGTGGGTGTAAAAGGAAAGTGCTCTGATTAAACAACTAATTCATAATGAAAGCACGAGTAATACCATAGAATGACACTAATAAATTATTGGTAATTTATAAACAAATTTATTTATAAACTAGATGACCAGTGCACAAAATTCGTGCATGGGTAGGGTCCCTAGGCCTGGCTGGTGATCAGGGCCAATTGGGGCCTTCTGGCTGCCAGCTGGGGCCTCCCTTCCCCAGATGCTGGCTGGGGCCTTCCTTTGTTCTGCGCCATCCCCTGGTGATCAGTGCACATCATAGAGAGCAATAGAACTCCCGGTCTCCCGGTCTATCTCCCACAGGGACACTTTGCATATTAGCCTTTTATATATATAGATGGATTTAATTTAAATCTAATTTATAAATGAAGTTAAACTGGAATATGTCCTAATAAGTCATATAAGAAACAGAAATGACCATCATACAATGTCAGTTCTGAGGAACTATTCTTTTTTACTGCCTCCATCCATTAATCGCAAAGGTCATTCTCTAAGGAGAGACATCAGAGGAACAGAAATATTCCCAGCATCCAAAGTCCCAAAACTACAGTTGATACAGCCTGGCTTCCCTGTAGAGAAACATGTAGTGAAGTGGCAGCACATCACTCTGCTAAGAATTACTGTGGTCCATCAATGAAGAAGACTACAGAGGAAAGTGAAGAAGGGGAGCCAGGAAAATAGCCTACCTTAGCAAAATTTTACTACTATTTCTTTTAGCTGGCCATTCTGAGAGGTAGATTATTTTTAAAAGACATTTCTACAATAATACTGCCAACTGACTTTTTAATCATTTATAGCCTCATTTTTCACCTTCCACTGGTTTGCTTACATTTTTTACGTTACATATTAATCAACAATACATCTCCAGGTTTATAGAATATAGCAATATTCTATTAAAAATATTTTAAAACGTTCTCCAAAGAAAACATACGTATGTGGGTGCGTAGTACATCCATTTTCAGGGGCGGGGAATGTCTGGCCCAAGGGCCATATAAGGCCAGTGAAATCATTTAGTTTGGCCCTGCCAAGGCATTGGGGGTGAGGTAATTAAATGTTTGACCAACAAAGAAATAGACTTACAAGTCCAGGAAGCACAGAGAACCCCAAACAAAAGGAACCCAAAGAGGACCACACCAAGACACATCATAATTAAAATGCCAAGAGCAAAAGACAAAGAGAGAATCTTAAAAGCAGCAAAAGAAAGACAGTCAGTTACCTACAAGGGAGTACTCATACGACTGTCAGCTGATTTCTCAACAGAAACCATGCAAGCCAGAAGAGAGTGGCAAGAAATATTCAAAGTGATGAATGCCAAGAACCTACAACCAAGATTACTTTATCCAGCAAAGCTATCATTCAGAATAGAAGGTCAGATAAAGAGCTTCACAGATAAGAAAAAGCTAAAGGAGTTCATCACCACCAAACCAGCATTATATGAAATGCTGAAAGGTATTCTTTAAGAAGAGGAAGAAGAAAAAGGAACTCTTACCATTTGCCACAGCATGGATGGGACTGGAGAGCGGATAAATACCACATGATCTCACTCATTTGTGGAATATAATGAACAACATAAACTGATGAACAAGGACTGATCCAGAGATGGAGAGGCATTGATTGGACTGTCGGGCCTTGGAGGGAAGGTAGGGGAGGGTGGGGGGAAGGGGGGAAGATCAACCAAAGGACTTATATGCAAGCATATAGGCCTAACCAATGGACACGGACAATGGGGGGGTGAGGGCATGAGTGGGGGGTGGGGGGGTAGAGGGTAAGGTGGGGATAAGGACACATATGTAATATCTTAATCAATAAAAAATATATTAAAAAAAATAAAAAAATAAATGTTTGACCAAATATAGCAGGCTAATGTTTAAGTTGATAATTTTGTATGGCCTGAGAATCTATAGTAATAAAGGCATAATATGCTAATTAGACCAGACAGCCAAACATCCTTCCAGACAACCTTCTGGATGAAGCCAGGGCTGCGAGGGAAGCCCGGGTCCCTGGTGCCAGAGGGAAGCCGGTGCCGGCAGCTGGGGGAAGGAAGGCCTACTCGTGCACTAATTTCGTGCATCAGGCCTCTAGTAAAGTTATAAATATCCAAATGGCCCTAGGCAGAAAAGGCCTGCCCCCTGCCCCAACTTACATAAATAGCTTCTACTCATCAAGATAAAACATTAAAAAAAACACAAAGACTCATAATAAGTACTATGGAATTCCATTAACAATTCAGCAATAAACAATGACACCAAAGAAAATCATCTTGGAATATATTCCTGTATGAATATGTTGACAGATGAAAAACAGGTACATGTTTTGTTTTATGTTTCTTCTTGCTCTATCAAAACCACCAGAATGACTTGTTTCTCCAAAATACTCATACTAAGTCTCTATACGTAACTATACTTCTGGGAGGGAAAAAGCATTTTTTACTAATAATTTGAGAGAATATTTTTAAATTGTAAATGAATTCAATATTATCTGGAAGTTCCAAAAGCTGAAACCCTGGTATCTCAGTGAAAGGTGAGAAACAATTCATACATATTAATTCATTGACTACTTGACTCTAAGGCTAAGGATTACATTCAGATCATATTATAAAAAATGTATTTGATCTTTATATGAATATTTGAATATTACCTTGAACTTGTTCAGAACATCTCTCTCGGGCTTTTTCTCTCATTATTTTAGGGATCAAAACATCTTTTTCAACATGCCTGAGATGCTGATCTGAAAAAAAAAAAAAAAGGAGATATTTCTTTAATATAGGAAAGTCTCAAGTAAATCACCTGTTTTGGGGGGAAATAAGCACTGTGGTTTACTTAAATAAAAGCCTATGCAAATATGTTAAAACCTGTTTTATAACATCATAAAAATGTGTTTATTTCAGTCACTAAAAATCATTCCAAATAATTTTTATATACAGCAGAAAAGAATGTAAGACATAGGCAACATCTTTCTAAAATTTCCACAAACTATATTGTAGCACTTATATTTCATGTAATCTTGACAAAATTAAGTCATAGACTAAAATATTACAATTTTTCTTATTAATATAATCCACAAGAGGAGTTTTATCAATACTAAGATCCAAGGATAGATGATGATGATGTTTATCAGTAGTGAGATCCAAGATTAAGAGATACACGAATAATGTATTTAGTAATAAGAGTGGTTTAAGAAAGCCAGAACTGGCAGAAGAAAAAGTGGAACTATTATGTGCATAAAAAAGAAAAGCCTGTGAGATTTCTGTGCATTTTAAACACAACTTCCACAATTAGACTAAAGTGGTAGACTGCGCACCTGCTACAGAGTCCCACCTGTTCCCTAAATTCGTAGAGTCCTAAAAAACAAATGGAAAGTCCCCTGGCCAGGTGTTTCGGTTGGCTGGAGCATTGTTCATACACTGAACGGTTGCCGGTTTGATTCCCGGTCAGGGCACATGCCTGGATTACAGGTTTGATCCTGGGCCGGGGCCTATTGAGAAGGCAACTGATAGATATTTCTTTCACTTCCATGTTTATCTCTCTGTCCCCCTTCCTCTCTTTCTAAAAATCAATAAAATCATGTACTCGGGTAAGGATTAAGAAAAGAAGAAAATAAATAAATAAAAACAAATGGAAAGTGTCCTCAGAGAACTAGAATGATCAAGAATCTCTAAAATAGACAAAAGGCAGATGAGTTCAGATTCCAGGAAGAAGTGTTTTGCCACAGTTTTTCCCCAGGAAAAAACTGCTATGACAAGTGGGTGTTGCTCCATGCTCAGAAGCAGCAAAAATGGGGAGCAAAAGACTTCCACTGAGGAAACTAAAGTTTTATTGGTTGAAATACATGAGTAGGAGCCAAGTGAGTCACATCTGCTACTGCTTTCAGACCATGAATAAAAGAAGTAAATAACAGGTAATTATCCCCAAAAGTTCATCAGCAAGTTTCCCAGTATCTAATACCACCTAGGAAGACGAGATAACCCTAAACTCTTCCTGGTAATATGTGGTCACCAACAATCTCTAAATGCAGGTAGCTTAGAGAGGGTAACAGGGCATATCAAAAAGCAAACAAAAACAAAACAGCCAAGAATCACCTTAATTTGATGCAGGACAACACACTGTAATTAATCAAGAAGTAACCAACTCGTAAGAGAGTTCAAAGCATAAGGAAAATCCTATTTTAAAATACGTATGATAAATATACTGAAACAAATTAAAAGACATGAGTCCTCGGACAGAAATGGACTATAGATTACTTACACGCACTTAGATGAAATCTCTGAAACTCAAAAATCCTAAAAGCTTCAAAAGGGAAAATACATTTCCCACACAAAGGAATGAGAATCAGATTACATCATGTTTCCCTGGCAAGACCTGGATGCAATAATGGAGAAGTAACTTCAAAGTTCTAAGAGAGATTACTTTACATCCAAGAATTGTAGAGCCAATTAAGAGTGAAGTTAAAGATATGTTCAGATGTGTAGAGTCTGAAGTTTACCTCCTTCAAACTCTACTGAAAAAGAATGTATCCCTACTGCTGTGTGACAAGCCACGAATCGAACTCAGTGATGTAAAACGCTGTATAGGGATCCACAAGGTCAGGAATTCAGAAAGGTAAAGCAGAATAGACTCTTCTCTGCTTCACAGTGTCTGAGGCCTCATCTCAGTAGACTCAAATGACAGGTGTTGATTTCAATAGCTGCAGAAGCTGGGGCTAGTGCAGGGGTGGGCAACTTCTTTGTGAGTGCGTGCCAAAACCAGCAAAATTTCTGACTCAAAATTCTTCTGCCTGCCAACCCTAATTTTTTGAGAACATGTTACGCCTACTTGATATCTCTTAAGGTGTATGTATGTGAAGAACCTTGAAGAAATAATAAAATTCATTCGAGTGTCAGAAACACAGTATATGATGATGAAAAATACATTTATTTTTTAATGTATACATGTACACTGATAGTCCGACAGAAAACTTCATGACTCCGTTTGATATTATCAGTGGGACTTTTGAGGAACAGAGAAACATAGAAATTTATTCCCCTTTTGTTAGTACCGGTGGGCAAAGCAAGAGAGAAGGTTTCATTTTTATAGAGTGAATTTTTGAATAAGTAGGTGAGGCGGTTGTCTTGTCAACAAAAACCCCTTGCGTCTGAGGCTGAAACCAAAACACTGGTCGAATCTAGGAAGGCAGGGAGAGTTAAGGCAGAGGCATAGAAATTGCTCTTCCCCTCTCTCGTCAATCCATGTCTATGGTCTGTAAGATAACTTGTTATGTAAAATTATTTATTTACCTAAGATGCACCCACACTGAATTTATCTGAAAAATAAAAAGTCGATATTAAGAAAAAAATTGTAAATGGAAGATTATGAGAGGGTTTCGTGTGCCAGCAAAAGTTACTGGCATGCCATGTTTGGCACGCGTGCCAGAGGTTGCCCACCCCTGGGCTAGAGGCTTTACTTCCAAGATGCTTTCTTTCTTTACTATGTATGTGACAATTGGGCTGGAATGGCTGAAGGACGGGCTCATTGAGGACTGTAAACCAGAGCACCTATGCATGGCCACTCCATCTGGTTTGGCTTCTCACACAGGGCAGGTAGGTTATGAGAGGGGCAATCTGCAAAGAAATGGCTAAAGAGTAAGTCTTCCAAGATAACCCAGTGAAAGCAGTATGGCCTTTCTGACCATGTCATGGAAGCCATGCAGCATCTTTGTAGCTACATGATATTGATTTCAAATCACTAAGGGCAGCCTATATACTCAAGTGGGGGAAATTAAGGCTCCATTCTTTGTGGCAAGACTACATCACAAAGTGCATGAGGGATAGAAGATAATGTCGTGACTTTATTTTGTAAAATAAAATCTGCCACAAGAAGTAACAGAGAATATACTCTGATAAAATAAAAATGAATCCATGATGTGCGAATGTAAAATATATAAAGCAGATTAGAAAAACAGACATTTAATTTACATATTGAAACTGTAAAGTATTTGAACATCATCATCAACTAATGACCTAACATTTATAAATACTCCACTAAGTGGGGTGGACTATGAAACAAATCTCAATAAATGTGAAATTTACCATACACCTTACCAAATGACCTAGCAAACATACTCCTCAGGATTTATCCTAAAGAAATAAAAACTTAAGTTCACACTAAAACCTGTATATAAATGTTCATTGCAGTTTATTTGTAATAGGCAAAACATGAAAATAATCCAAAAGTCCCTCAACTGCTGAATGGATCAACAATATTTCATCCAGAAAATGGAATATTACACTCAATAAAAAAGAATGAAACTATTGATATATAACAGCAGCAACTTGGATAGACCTCAAGGGTATAATGCTGAATGAAAAGAAGATAATCTAAAAAGTTATTTATTCTATGATTCCACTTACATAAGATTCTTTTTTTTTTTTTTTTTTGGTAGTAATTCTTTTTTAAAAAAATATTTTTATTGATTTTACAGAGAGAGAGGTATAGAAATATCAATGAAGAGACAGAATCATTGATCGGCTGCCTCCTGCATGGCCCCCACTCGGCATCAAGCCCATAACCTGGGCATGTGCCCTTGACCAGAATCAAACCTGGGACCCTTCAGTCCACAGGCCAATGCTCTATCCCAGTGATGGCGAACCTATGACACCTCTGACATGCGAACTCATCTTTTTGGTTGATTTTTCTTTGTTAAATGGCATTTAAATAAATAAAATATCAAAAATATAAATCTTTGTTTTACTATGGTTGCATACATCAAAAAATTTCTATATGTGACACGGCACCAGAGTTAAGTTAGGGTTTTTCAAAATCCTGACACGCCGAGCTCAAAAGGTTCGCCATCACTGCTCTATCCACTGAGCCAAACTGGCTAGAGCAAAGATTCTTAAAGTGACAAAATTAGTGATAGGAACAAATCCCTGGTTACCAGTAGTTAAGAGTTGAGGAAGTAGTATAACTTACGACTTATTGGTAACATGAAGGATTTCCTTTGTAATGATATAACAGTTCTGTATGCTGACTGTGATCATGGTTACTTGAATCTTCACATGTAATAAAATGTCATATAACTACACACACACACACACACACACACACACACACACACACGTACACATAAAGAATGGTAAAATTTGATGATCATGGTTACTTGAATCTTCACATGTAATAAAATGTCATATAACTACACACACACACACACACACACACACACACACGTACACATAAAGAATGGTAAAATTTGATGGTTGAGGATCGACACATGAATCAAGAGGTCACCAGTTCGATTCCAGTCAGGGCACATTCCCAGGTTACAGGCTCTATTCCCAGTAGGGGGCCTGCAGGAAGCAGCCTATCAATGTTTCTCTCTCATTGATGTTTCTATTATTCTGTCCCTCTCCCTTCCCTTCTCTCTAAAATCAATAAAAACATTTATTTTTTAAAAAATGGTAAAATTTAACTCAGATATGTACCTGAGTTAACAGTATATTAATGTCAGTTCCTGGTTTCCTTAGTTACACTGAATTATAGCAGTATGTCCCAACCGTTTCACCATTTTGCCCCTAAAGGAGCTTTTTCAGACATTATTTCCTAATCCCCCTTGAAATGTTACTATCACAGATACACTGTATATCTGTTCATGTACTGTATGTATAATAGTGCTTTTATACATTAAAAAGTGATTTTTAATGTATAATGATTTTTCTCCCCTAACATCAATCTTTGCTCCATTAAAAGCAATAT